TAAGATAGCCTTTGGGCTTTTATGATCGAGTGAGGACTTACTCGAACTCGAAGTGAAGTTAGCCCTTAGGCTTTATAGTCGAGTGTGGATTTGCTCGAACTCAAAGTAAAGTTAGCCCTTAGGCTTTATAGATAGTCCCCGAGTGAGAGTTTACTCGAACTGGGGTTAAGATAGCCCTTGGGCTTTTATGATCGAGTGAGAACTTACTCGAAATCGAAGTGAAGTTAACCCTTAGGCTTTATAGATAGTCCCCGAGTGAGAGTTTGCTTGAACTCAGGTTAGTATAGCCTTTGGGCTTTTATGATCAAGTGAGGACTTCCTCGAACTCGAAATGTAGTTAGACCTTAGGCTTTATAGATAGTCCCCGAGTGAGAGTTTTCTCAAACTCGGGTTAAGATAGCCCTTGGACTTTTATGATTGAGTGAGGACTTGCTCGAACTCGATGTGAAATTAGCCCTTAGGCTTTATAGTCGAGTGAGGATTTGCTCGAACTCGAAGTAAAGTTAGGCCTTAGGCTTTATAGATAGTCCCCGAATGAGAGTTTACTCGAACTCGGGTTAAGATAGCCCTTGGGCTTTTATGATCGAGTGAGGACTTGTTCGAACTCGAAGTAGAAGTAGCCCTCAGGCCTTTGTATTTATTACGAATTTTAAACGTCTCCGATCCGCGTTAATTTGGTCGTAGCCTCTTTAGTTTGGAACTTGCCCGTTGGGCTTATTTTTCACTTCACTTCGAGCTTGCCCGAAGTGTCAGTCCCCGAGTGGGGTGGCCTGGCTTGTAAAATTGAGGGTCGTCTTTAAGGTCTTATGGTCTCGAAATTTAAGTAGTTCGATTTCGTTTGTTTTTCGGACGGCAGTCCTCAAGCGTGGGTTTAGTTGTTCGAACTTCCGTCATGATCGACCTTTAAGCCTGTTTACACAATAGATCAAGAGTATGAAATAGAAAATTTTTCTAAAGGCATGAGATATCAGTAAGGAAAAATACTTCTCTCACATGCGCGCATGTTTGATGTTAGGGCTTGAGTAACCTATATGGGCATGGTTAATCTAACTGTTTACCCTTACAACATTTTCCTATCGATACCCCACTGTCACCAAATAATTTTCTTGCAACAAAGTAAACATTCGAGGGTAATGCCCCCCAGTACTCGAGGTTTATTGTAGGGAATGCCGAATACTGTTGAATTGCTCTAAGTTAGCACGAACAATAGTTGCCTCATTAAAAACCTCGCCGGAAAAACCCATTTGGGATAAAAACCGGTCTAAGGGAAAAAGAGTGCAATGCCTGCTTTAAGATCCCCTGCTTTATTCGGATGTTGGATATTTAACGTGATCTTCCTCGGCATCAAGCCCCCGTGAATTTTGACCACGATCATTTCTCCTCTCATTTCGTGTGAAGCTTCGCCCAGGCCCGCTGCCTCTACGGTCTCCATTGTACGGTTGATATTGATCTCTATTCGACATCGACTCTCTATCGATGTCCCTTTTGATCCTATCCATGGGCCTGCTAGGATAAACAGGCCCCGAAGGAGTCCCCAGTTGATCATCCTCGACCCTGATCTTCGACTGATATCGACTATGTACATCGGCCCAAATGACAGCCGGGTACTCGATTAAACTTTGATTCAACTGCTGTGAAACTATAGAACTTCGAGTGTTGAGACCTTAAGTGAAAGCTTGAACAACCCAGTCATCGGTGACTGGAGACAAATCCATTCTCTCTGCTTGGAACTGAGATACGAATTCCCTGAGCATCTCGTTATCTTTCTGTTTTACCTTGAAAAGGTCCGACTTCCTCGTTGCAATTTTAGTGGCTCCGGCGTGTGCTTTTACAAAAGAATCTGTAAACATAGCAAACGAATCAATAGAAGTAGGGGGTAAGTTATGATACCATATTAAGGAACCCTTCGGCAGAGTCTCCCCGAACTTTTTCAGCAGTACAGATTCAATTTCGTCATCTTCCAAGTCATTTCCTTTGACGACTCATGTATACGAGGTGACGTGTTCATTCGGATGGGTTGTTTCGTTATACTTGGGAATCTCGGGCATACAGAACTTCTTGGGGATTGGCTTCGGAGCTGCACTAGGGGGAATGGTCTTTGCACAAACTTTTTAGAATCTAGTCCTTCCAATATTGGTGGTGCCCACGGAATTTGATCAACTCGGGAGTTGTAAGCTTCTACCCTTTTGTCGTTTTTCTCAATCTTCTTTTCACCTGATTCAATCCGTTTAGTGAGCTCCTCGAGCATCTTCATAATGGCAGGGTCAGTCCCCGATTCATTGACGTTCAATCTCTCTGGTATATGTTCGGCTCTATGAACAACTTCTTGTGATGTTTCGAGCTCAATTCTGTTTGGTGCTCGATTTTGATTTTGGAGTTATGCTATCGCAGCTTATTGAGTCTGCAACATCTCAAATATCATTCGAAGGTTAATTCCGCCTTCTTCATCGCTCTATGCGTTCTGATCGGCTGCTCGAGCATCTATGTGGATGCTATTATCAAGGCCGACACCCAAATTCCCATGAATGGCAATATGGGAGCTGACATCGACTGGGTCCACGACCGGCGGTCCGTCGGGGTTGATTGGAGGTACTCCGTTTTCCCGGGCGACTATGTTTTCGTTCTCTCCATGAAGACCAAGGTCGTTGTCTGTGTGAGTGGGTGCTACTTGAGAGTTTGACATGTTGATTCCTGAAATCAAAGACACTAACGAGAACAAGCGCAAAGCAATGTATGTTATGAGAATTAATACCAGGCAATCACTATTATCCTTAGCCCCACGGTGGGTGCCAAATTGTTTACCCTAAAAATTGGATGACAATTAAACTTATAATGTAGTTTTAAGGACACGTGATTTCACATAATACCAATTGATAAATGTGAAGATTAGTAATAGAAATTAACAATAAGATAAAGCAAACCAGTGTTGAAAACGTAGTTCAGCCCTGGAGCTAAAATGCCCTCGAACTGGTCAGAACCAGAACAGTTAAGAGATAAGCAAGCTAATGAACAAGAATATAAACTAGAGAGAAAGTGTTGTATTGCTTTCATATATCAGAATGTAAGATGATTATAAGATGATTAGGGCCCTATTTATATAGTAAAGGAATCCTATTTAGAGTATAATTCTAATTACGGAAGTAAATTCCATGATTGGCTAAATAACTGGTCCTGACTTGATGCGTGCCGAGATTTCCGTCACGATCCTTGCCCGATCACGAATATCTTGGCTTTTTGTTATTCGACCTGGCAGGCTTCCTTCGATCTCGTTCGATATCTTTCCCGTTTCGATCTCAATCTTGATCGGCCATTGATCCACGAGCTTACCAATCCATATATGTACCATGGTCCGATATAACCGAGGTCGAGCCTTGATTTACCACTCCGATTTCGGTCAGCCATACAAAGTTAGGCAAGCCCAATTTTGACCGTATACACCTACTAACTATTAGGGGTCATTTTGTAGAGGAATAAATTATCCCGGGATTATAACACACAAATTAAATAATGATCGGGTTATTTAGTGAATATATTTTAATTGAAAGATGTTTGGTTCTTAGGATTAAAAAGGGATATACGGGGTATAATATAAATGTTTTTGGTATATAGAAGTAGTAGATAAGTTTGGATAAACTTTTATTTTTAATTTTAACCATGGATTGTTTAAAAGACTTTGGGGGGAAGAGTCTTGGAGAAGGATATTTTTGTCATTTTAGTATTTATCCCATAATTAATTAATTCTAAAAATGTTATTTCACTCAATTGGGATAGAATAATTCCTAATTGTATAGGATAGAATAATACCAATTATGGGATTAAGGATTGCTATTCTCGAATCAAAAAATTCCACCAAACGGGGAATAAAATAATCTTGTATTTAATCCCAAAATTGTTATCTCTTACCCCACATATCAAACCACCCCTTAAAAAATTTACTATGTCAACAGTCTAATGTTAGTTGTTATGTAAAAGAAAATGACAAAAATGGTCCCTTGTGTTTGGTTTTAGGTTCAAAGTAGTCCGTTAAAAATAATTTGGAGCAGTTTTAGTTGTTTAAGTTTGCAAAAAATAATACGTCAAACCGTCACTATTTAAGAAACTCTACATGCTAGATTTGATGGAAATTATTTTTTGAAATAATGACAAATCCGTGGGCCACGTTGAAGGCCAAACTTAGGGATAAGTGCACATATAGCCATTCCCACATATGCTATTTAGAGATTAGACAATATTTAGTTTGTCGTAAAATTTTAAACTAACAATTCTCAGGACAATTGACATTTTTGTCCGAAAAAATTAAAATTCAGGGCGTATTAGTTAATTCCTAAATAGCAGTCCTTTAGAGTGACTACCTGGTGTCATTGGCCTAGAAATGACACCAGGTAGCCACTCTAAAGGGCTACTATTAGGAATTAGCCAATGTGTCTTGAATTTCAGTTTTTTAGCTTAATTTTTTATGACAAAAATATTATGAATTGTTCTGAAATTATATTTTTTAATTTAAAATTTTAAGATAAAATAAATACCGACTAATCTCTAAATATGATTCACGAGAATGGCTATCGGTGCACTTGCCCCGTCATTGGCAGCAATATGGGCGGGATCCGGATCTGTTAAACATAAACAAGCCGAAAATAACTAGTCCTCCAGTTAGAGAAATGAACGGCTACCATTTCGGTCACTAACCCTAGTTTACTCCCTGCCATTTCGGTCACTACCCCTAGTTTACTCCTCTATATAACACTAGATGATTCTTGCCCGTGCATAGCACGGGCCCAACAATTTAAACTGTAATCGTGTGTTTACATGTGATTAAGACTCGAAATAGCAATAAATGGTTAAGGATAACAATAATTTCACAAACACAACAGAACAATGCTGTTTCTGATCAATAGTGATAGAAACATAAAACTATATATTACTTCCCTAGGGGCCGACCGACGTGTGTAAAATTGAGCGAATATTTCATTTTGTTGTGCTTTTCTATTAATCAAAGCATATGACTAATTCCTCATCTCCTACCCATCATTTTATACCACATGATCAACCAGATGTATTATGTTTTTGAGTACTTACACCATGCATGTACGAACAACATAAATCACATAATCCCATTAAGAACCATAAAGAGTATTGTAAAAATTTGTGCATTGCTGGAAGCCGAAAACATCACCACTTTGTATTCGTCTTGACCTCCATCAAAAGAGCTTCTTGCTCCTATTCTGAAAAGAGAACAAAATATTAAACATTTTTTCTATTGAAAATATTAATTAATACAAGTCCCGCACCACAAATTTGAAAAATACCATGATATAAAGATAAGTTAGAGACAAGAAGGGGAGAGAAACCCCAAGGGAAAACAAACTACTCTAGAAGACTATACCCAAGTGTCGAGGTACACCCCTTTAGAGAAGATCAAACAATGTCATTGAAGGAGAAGACACTATTACTATAATCTAAGGATGCATCATAAATTAAAGAGTATAAGATCCTCCTATCCTTAAGATTAAATCGGTCAACAATTACGGAAAAATTGGAGAAATGCTATTCCTTGGTTCTTTTTCTTTGATAAGCTAACTCCTAAAATTATATGGATATGCCAAAATTTAATGCAAATGATCTCCAAAAAAGTTGGTCGATACATTTTACTTACCCTTAAGTAAAAGAAAGAAATAATCACAATCATATGAGTAGCAAATTATCAAGAACATACACGGTTATGAAAGTAGATACATTCATACAGTTTCTATCACCACTATAAAAATAAAATATGGACTTATACTGAATTTTTTATATCATCTCAGCATTATCTTAGAAGTGGAACTTTGGAGCAAATGGTAAATTTATCTCCATATGACCTATAGGTCACGAGTTCGTACCGTGGAAGCAGCCACTAATGCTTGCATTAAGGTAGGCCGTCTACATCAACACCTCTTGGGGTGCGACCTTTCTTCAGATCCTGCCTGAATACGAGATGTCTTGTATATTAGACTGCTCTTTTTTATCTCAACATCATTCAGTATTGGTGCTTGTAAATAAATTTTCTTTTTATTACTCATCACAAAAAGGAGGGGAAATGAGAAGGCAAAAGAACCTACTTTTTTCTACTAAATAACACTACAAGTGTCAAACTGAAGTTCCATAAGCCAGATATTCAAAGAAACCAAATAATTATTTGTGCAGAGTCAACTCTTCAAGACATTATTGCTACATAGCACATTCCTTAAATCTAAATATGTTCAGGGAGTTGTTATTGCTCAAAACTAATATACATACCTCACTCATTAGACTCCTTTGAACTTCGCTCTTTAGTGAATAATCAATCTATACCAAATTCAAAAAATGAAAACAAGTTAGATTTCATGAAATATTGGAGAAGATGTAATTAAACAGAAAATGTCCTTCAAGATATAGTCAACTTAAAATGGTGCTTAATCTTAAAACTTCCAATTAGAAGTTAATCAATATGAATTTTGAATGCTTGATAAATCAAGTAACATCAATGACTATTCTGTATTATTCTGTCCACAACAGCATCACATGTATGAAATGTACCCAGTCTAAGTATTATGTTTTTCTTTTTCAATTTCTTACCTTGTTCTTATTATCAATTTGCAATATTTTTTTCCTAATAAGCGCATCAATTTTGTAACACGTTATAATCACTTTGCAATGATTTATGAACAAAAAAAATAAAGTTAGATCATGTCACAGTTACCAAATACACTCCACAATAATCATGCTAAACCATCCTTTTTTTAGTTTGTCCTCAGTCTTAGTACATAAATTCATAGAATATAAAATATCTCATGACAATAGTATAGTGTGCTATAGATTTATTGTGTTGTAACTCACAAATAGAACTTAATATCAGAGAATAGTATAACATTATGAAGAACTTAAATCCAAAAGTGTAAATAGTATATGCTAGTGTATGAAGACTCACACGACCTATGTAGAAAATAAAAATTACATCAAGCAAATTATAAGCAACATCAGTGACTTTTCTAGTGTATTTCATGAGCGAATAAAGACGTTTCAATGAGGTAAATTCTAAGTGGGAATGAAGGTTGTAAATTCTTAAAAGATCTGCAAAGTCAAGAAGTTGGAAAGAATATAGAGAAAAGAGAAACGATAATAAATGATTGTCGTTACCACTATTGTTAAAGGCAAAAATTTCTAAAAGGCGCTCGAGGGCTAATCGCAAAGTGCAATAAAAGTGTGTGCTTTATTAAATAAATAAAAAAAGCAATGAACAAACAAAATAAAAATAAATCTATAATGCAAGAAAAATATGGATTTCATAATATTTTCCTTTAAATTAATATCTCTTTTCTGATTATATCATCTATTCTTTAGTATAACTAGATTAAAAAAAAAGGCGCAATACAAAAACTAATTTTCCAAGGGACTGAACTTCAAACTAAATAAAATTTTATATCGGCATTACATGTATATTAATTTTTTTTTTGATAAAGTATATATATATTAAAATTAGTGGTACCTTATCAAGAGTTACTCATTCTTCAACAAGCGGTAGTTGATTCTCTGCATTTTTAGCAAGAAAAATCTAGTGCTTCACCTAAGATTATTCAGTATCAGACACGTCCATGTGACGGTACTAAAAAAATAGAGAAGCAGCTTGCTGCAATGTATCTAAAACAATATTACTCCATCAAGGGATAACTCAAGTCATTAGGCTGCTCTTTATATCAGATTTATATAAAAGTCAGTGAATTAATAAACTTCTACTAAAGTTTAAATTTGAATAGAAAACACTCTTCATTTGTAGTAAAAATATTTTCAATGCTGAGAGATATAAAACACATTCCTCAAGCACAATGCAATTTAACATAAGATTATAGAAATCAAAAAGTCTTTCAGAACTCCATATACTTAGGCAAATGGACCATTCTAGTAAGATGTGGTCTTATATAAATAAACCAACGATGCATTACAACCAAAGATCCTTGGTCCCGTCATCAATTGCTAATGCATCCCGTTGAACAAACAAATTATGTATAAGAGATCATTCTTTAGAGGACTGATTTACCTTGTAGTATACCTTGCTGCCGTAAAAGGCATATATTTATATTCTATCATTTGAGAATTAAGCTTTAGGGTGATTTTTATTTACATGTTAACTGGTCAGTCTGCAAATCATTTACTCAGTAAAATTCTTCGGTGAATCAGAGATCAATAATTTCATCATATCGATAAAAAATAGAAAACAACATAGGACAAACAGATGACCAGAACAAAATAATGAGATTCAAAGGAAGAAAATAACGCTCAAAGACATTGAAGAGAAAGTTAGATAGAATAATAAGAAAACAACCATGAATTAAGCCATGAAATTGAAAATCTGAAGAGAATCTGAAGAAGATTAGGGCAAAAGATTGATACAAATGCTAACCTGAAATTGCCACACCCCGATAAAAAAATAATGAGAAGTCAAAAAAAAGTCCAAATTTATGCAAGAATCATATTTCTCTGTTGTTGGTTGGACTGAACAAGAGAGATGAAAGAAATGAATGAGTTAGTGTTGGTATTAGAATAAAAGTGAAATCAGCATTGGAGTGAATACGTACAACACATTTTATGACATGGTTAAATGACTCTTTTACCCTTGGTCGACCATATTCCCTTTTCTATACATCTGCGAGTTAGAACTACAGCTAGCTCTCTCTTCCTTCAAAGCTTCTCCAATGGCGCCCAAGAAAACTATTCGCAACTCAGACCTAATCCCCGGCGTGGGAAAATTCTCGCGTTCCAAAATGTACCACAAAAGAAAGCATATGAGCGATCAAGAAAAAAAAAACAACGGAAAATTCCCTCAACACCCAAAAAAACCCACCCCAACACCACCCACCTCAAATCCCCCAAAATTTTACCCAGCAGATGATGTGGCAAAACCCCTTGTAAACGAACCCAAACCCACAAAATTAAGATCAAGTATTACACCTGGAACTGTGCTCATTATCTTAGCTGAAGATTTAAGGGTAAAAGAGCTGTGTTCTTAAACAGCTTAAATCTGGGGTTTTGCTTGTTACTGGTCCTTTTAAACTTAATGGGGTTCCGTTAAGACGTGTTAATCAAGCTTATGTTATTGCTACTTCGACTAAAGTTGATGTTAGTGGGGTAAATGTTGAGAAAATAGATGATAAATATTTTGATAAGGTGGCTGAGAAGAAACAGAAGAAAGGTGAAGACGAGTTCCTTGAAGAGAAATAAGTGTTTTGTTTCATTTGTTAATATTCTGCTTTAATATTTTTTAGTTTAAATCATATTTTTGCATATTTTGATATAATGTGAAATGTAGTGAGTCTCTAAAAGGGGCAACCCGGTGCACTAAGCTCCCGCTATGTGCGGGGTCCGGTGAAGGGTCGTACCACAAGGGTCGATTATATGCAGTCTTACCTTACATATCTGCAAGAGTCTGTTTTCACGGCTCGAATCCGAGGTCACCTCCTGGTTGCATGGCAGCAACTTTACCAATTACTCCAATCCTCTTCTTCCAAACGTAGTGAGTCTCTATTTTTTTAAAAGCCTTTAGTTTATCTTAAATGACAAAGGTTGATGTTTAGGCAAATTAAGCAATTTAAACTTATGTCGGGAAGGGTGTCATTGCTTGCGTACATGTAAATGAATTTGTCAGTGGATGATGATCTGACTATGATGTTGGAAAAAGGTCAAATTATAATGATGATTGAAAGCTACATGTACCAAGAGAAGGGTGAAATTGAGTATCCTTGATCTTGATTGCCAATGTGGCTGTAGCTACATGAATTCAATTTTGAGAGGTTAACTGGCCGGTTGTCGTTCTGCTGTCGATATATATCTGCTTACCAAACTTCTTACATTTCAAATACTATTTGTATTTATTTTAACTGTAATGGAATGAAATGGACATAAAGTGGAATGGATATGGAGAATTCTCTCTATCCTCACAAGGTAGGGGCAAGGTGTGCATACACACTACCCTCCCAGACCCCACGGTGTGGGATAATACTGGGTATATTGTTGTTGTTGCTGATGTGGAGAATTCTATTAAAATTGATATGGAGCATTGTGTTCACATTATTTTCCTTGCAGGAGAAAAATGTGCTTCCACAGGAAAAGAAAGATGACCAGAAAGCTGTTGATGCAGCATTGATCAAGGCTATTGAGGGTGTTCCTGATTTGAAGGATTATTTGTCTTCACGGTTCTCACTCAAGTCAGGCATGAAACCACATGATCTAGTTTTTTAGGCAAAGAAATTCTATAATGCTCCTATGAATTGATTCTTGTTATCTCTGTTTTGTGTCCCGTTAACTTGCGTTAGTGGTTCTTATTAAGGATTTTGTTGATGAGAATCATCTTAAATTAGACCATACGATTTGAGATTTCTGCCATTGGAACTGTATATTCTTTATTACTAGCTATGTTGACTGTAACAATCAAAGACATTTCTTGATCTACAGTTTGTGCATAGATGATGGATTTGCCTCTAAAGTTAGAAATGATCAAATATTAATGCTTGATTGAAAGCTATATGTACCTAGAGAAGGTGTGAAATTGAGTACCAAATTGAGAAGTTTACTGGCCGGTTTTTGTTTTGCTGTCGACATATCTGCTTACTGAACTTCTTACATTTCAAATACTAGTTGTAATTCATTTTAGAAAGATAATACTTATGTGATATTAGGGTAGAAGGTTAGGGGTTAGTTGAGTGTATTCCTTTGCCATTGTCATGGCAACAGTATTAGCCTTGCATTTTTGTTTGTGGAGTAATATGTCTACCTGTTATTTCTTTCGCTTTAGTTATTTTACTGTATCACAACAGCTTGTTGATACTGCTCCTTTTTATTTTGTCCTAGAGTCGAGGCTCTCAGGAAAGGCGGAAACAACCTCTCTACCTCCACAGGGTAGGGGTAAGGTCCGCGTACATATTACCCTCCCCAAACTCCACTTGTGGGACTATACTGGGTATGTTGTTGTTGTAGTACTTATGTGATATTAGGCTGAAAGACATTAGAAATGGTCAAGTTCTAATGCATGATTGAAAGCTACATGTACCAAGAGAAGGGTGAAGTTGAGTACCCTTGATTTTGATTGCCAATGTGGCTATAGCTACATGAATTCATATTGAGAAGTTTACTAGCCGGTTGTTGTTCTGCTGTCGACATATCTGCTTACCGAACTTCCTACATATCCTATGCTAGTTGTAGTTCACTTGTTCTATGTTCATGTTTATGTGATAGTAGATTGTTGGATGAGAAGGGCAGAACGAGAAATGGCGTAGAATTTAGCCTTTTCAAGATGCCTTTCTCTAAAACCAATCATCTCTGCACTTTCCAGGCTCACTGTTTTGACTTCCAGCAGTTTGCGTCTATAGGTGCATACAAGAAAACACTATAGTATTCTCTTTTTCAGTTGTTTTTTGGGTACTTTTAGGCAGACAGCTGAGTTGCTGAAACCAGGAGGTCACATGTTCGAGTCGTGAAAACAGCCTCTTGCAGAAATATAAGGTAAGACTGCAGAAATATAAGGTAAGACTGCGTACAGTAAACCCTTGTGGTCCGGCCCTTCCCTAGACCCCCGCATAGCGGGAGTTTAGTGTACCGGGAGTGCCCTTTTTAGTTGAGTTGCTGCTGTGATATCAATATTACAAAACCAATTTGATCAAGATCCAGTAAAGTGAGAAGTAGATAGTTCTCCAAGGGAGAAAAGTGATGTTTCCCTATTGTCACCCTAAATTTGGTGTACTTATATTTTGTGATAATGCATAAATTCATCGATAACTCAGTCCTGTTAATAGTTTCTTGTTATTTCCTTTAAAGCAACAAGTGCTCAAAACTTGTAGTCTGATTCTTGATTGCATTTTCTGATTAGTAAATAAAGATAATTGTTTTTAAGAATAAAAGAGTAAGGGGTCGTTTGGTAGGGTATGAGAATAATGCCGAATAAGGTGTATTAGTAATGCAGAGATTGGTAATACAAGCATTAGTTATGCAAAGATTATTTCTTATCAACTGTTTGGTGTGATGTATTAAAAATTAAGATGCATTGCATAATTTTTAAGAAAATTAGTTGCTTACAAAGTGCGCTCCATATTCTAGCTTTAAGGGGCTTAAAGGACAATTTTATCTTTAACCATGCTAATACATGCATTAATAGCCTTGGTATTGGTAATGACATGGTTTGCTATGTATTAGTTATACATAGGATAATACCAAATAGGTTGTTTAACTAATACTTGCATTAGTAATACATAGGTTGAAAAAGTATACCAAAAAGAGAATAGTAATACCAAAAGTTAATGCATGCTTACCAAATGACCTCTGAGTCATAGAACCTTTAGGGATCGTTTGGTACGAGGGACAAGGAATAATTAATTTCGGGACTAAATTTAAGAAGAGTTTATCCCATGTTTGGTTTGGAGAAAATTACAGTATAATTAATCCCGAGATTAATTATTCCGGGATTATAGTATTTTTTTATCCGATAGAAAGATAGAATAACTAATCCCGAGATTAGTTATTCCGGAATAATTAATTCTAGGATAACATCTTTTCAACCAACGACCCTTAGAGGTACACCACTTCCACTTCTAATGACATCGGGGGAGGGAAGCTGGTAAAAATCACAAGGTAATCTCCAAAATCAGAACAATAAATAAGTAAATACGTGAAATCTACCTCAAATGACAAAGGAATTCGAATAAATTCAAAAATGGGCACAAGGGATTTGAATTAATAATTCTCTTAAATTAATAGTAGAATTCAAACTTTTATCTATATAGAAAGGATTGTTTTTATACATATAAGTGGTGGGGGAAAAGGACTAGAAATTTTCTTTGTATTATGCTCGACTCTCGAGTTATAGATATCGCCATTCTACGAAAATTTGTTCCCTAAATAGAGGCATTTGCAAAATTCATAGAAAGTACTTTCTCCGTTTTACTTTGTTTGGCACTAGTCTTTTATTTGTCTGTTTCAAAAAAAAAAAATTGACACATTTCTATATTTTTTTAATAAGAAGCATTTTATACCTACGGAAGTAGATCAGCGGTGAAGCCAGAAATTTATTCAAGGGTGTTCAAAATTAAAAGAAGTAAAAAAAAATTCTCCGACAAAGAATGGTCAATATATAATATATACCTCTAAAATCTAATATTTTACCTAATATACAGTGTAATTTTCCGACAAAGGATGGTCAGTTGACCACCCGTCAAAACATATAGCTTCGCCCCTGAAGTAGATGACAGATTTATGACCAACGGCTTTAAAAGTTTTATAGCTATATAATATTACAACTCATTTAAGACCACAAAATTTAAAAATCTTACTTTTTTAATTAAAATTTGTACCAAGTTGAACTACAACAAATAAAATGAAACGGAGGAGATAGTTAGCACTAACACAAAATAATGTTTATAATAAAGCTAGGAATATGTAATTTTCATCCAGATGAAAGAACATCATGCAACATCACAATCGAACTTTTTGTTTAGCGGTTAAGATTTATGTTCTGGATAAAAAGTACATTATCTTTTGTACAAAAGAATTTATTCGTGTCCAAGACATGCATCAAATCAATAAGCATATGATATGTTTATTTAAATAGGCTTTAATTATACTAAAATATTTAAGTATTCTTATGTTCACCTAATCACAATTAGTTAACATTGTTTG